GGCTCAGGATGTATCAGTTAACAGAGCAAAGATCCTTGGTCTCCTGGAACTGACATTTGGAGAGAGGATATAGCCAAAAAATAAAAATCGAATAAATTAATTACGTAGTGTGTTAGAAGGTGATGAGAGCTATGGATTGGGATTCAGGTAGTGAGTTGCAATTTTAGGTACAGTGCTGAGAGTAGGCCTCAGGGAGGGGACATCTGACCAAGACTGAGGTGAGGGAAGAGGCCATGTGGCTATGAGGAAACAGTGTTCAAGGCAGAGGGAACAACATGAGAAGATCTTGAGGCAGGAGAGTGCCTAATAGTAGAAGAGGTTGAAGTATGAGGCAGCAGATTATGGAAAGCATTGCAGGCCATTGTGAGGACTTGGGTTTTTATGTTGAGTGAAGCGGGGAGCCATTGTAGGATTCTGTGCAGAGAAAAGACATTTTTAAAGGGTCACTTTGGCTACAGGGTTGAGAATAGCCTCAGAGAGGCTCATCTCCTGTAGAAGCTTCCAAATATCAGCTCATCAAAAAACACAATGAGGGGTAAAGACAGCCATATTGCTGTCATCATTTAACAAATAGCAGTCAATCCACATATATCCCTCCTGTGTTACATGCCAGGCACCGTGCCAAGCACTTTACATACTTTCTCATTTAACCCTTCTAACAATTGCATGATGTCCCACCACTGATAGCTGTATTTTAAAGGTAATAAGGAGACTGTAAAAGTTGGTGACTGGCCCAACGTTTAGATGAAGTAAACGCAACTCGTGGAAGCTATAACTTTAGAACTCTGCTTATTAATGTGAAGAAACAGTCTAAGCAAGGTTTAGACCCCAGCACTGAGGAACTAAAGATGGTGGTGGTATGGGGGTGGGGAGGGGGCATAAATGTGTGAGTTCAACCCCCACACACTTCTTTAAAGTTCTGCCTAGTCCTTACACCACAAAACTTATCTACACCGTAACTGGATTGACTTATGTACCATTGATTCCTAAGTTTCCCTTTAGACCATGGCGTCTCTGTGGTCTGTTCCGTAAAGATTTGGGATTTTAAGGAGAGAGCACCCAGTGCTGCTCATCTGGAGCCAGGGGACCGTGAAGTAAGCACAGAAATTGAGTGTTTATAAACTTTATGTGTATTTAATCTAACAATAACAAATTGGGGCTTGTATTTACTATATCTTTTTTTTCTTAACTTCGTTTTCCTCCTAATTTATTCTTACAGTATTTTACCTTAATGGCTGAA